TCTGCCTTCGGCTCAGGTCATGATCCCAGGGTCCTGGGATCGAGTCCCGCATCGGGCTCCCTGCTCCTTGGGAGCCTGCTTCTCCCTCTGCCTGCCTCTCTCTCTCTCTCTCTCTCTCTCTCTCTCTCTTTCATGAATGGATAAATAAAATCTTTAAAAAAAAATCTTTATTTGAGAGAGAGACTTTTACTCTTCGTTAGCCCAGTAAAAGTGAAAAGCAACTGAGTTGAGTTGGTAGTGCAGCGCGGGGAGGGGGTCAAACAAAACATTTTGTTACATTTCTAGTAGTCTTAATGATCAGGCAAACCTTCAGGATGACTTGTTATTAAAGCATACATTTATTAATTTAGTTGATCCACAATTCAACCTAATAGCTATTTACCTTTTCAGCTGGGATAATGTTTCCCAAATTTCTGTCATTTCACACACCATCTCTACAAGTTTGGTTTGCTCTCTCTATACCGCCTATACTAATATTAGTATTTATCTTTATATTCACTTTCAATCAACTCCTTTTTCATACTTTGCCTAGCTCTATACTATAACATCCATTAAAACACAAGTTCAATGTGCTACTTTTTCTAACACATATTTAAAATAATTATATAACTGTGAACATACGTCCACAGACATACCATCTAAATTTATCTCATGTGATAAAAGTGATATTCTTACCATAGTTTGGGTTATCTGACCCTGAGCCTATTGTCAATTTATGATATGAATAAATAATAAAACAACTGTTCTCAGAAATCTGAGCTGCTAATTATTCTGATTTGTGAGAATGTACCAGAAACATATGGTCCCATCACCAATTTCAAAAGCTATAAACCTAGGAAGCCTAGCGTTTCAGATTTTATTATACATAAGAAATATATGAGGCCCTTGGTTCCACACCTACAGAGATTCTGACTCACTGGCGGGGGGGGGGGGGAACCACTGAAGCTGCATTTTTGCAGACATCCTGGGGAGTGCTGATGTGGGAAAACCCAAGCGCCACATTTTGAAAAACAGTGGACAGGGCAGGGGAAAAAATTTTAAATGCACTCTAGCTTTTCAGTGGGATAGCTGTCCGGCTGAAAAACCCCAAGTCTAACTATGTGATATTAAGCAAGTCATCTGACATCTCCGAGCCTTGGTTTTCTCACCTGTTAAATGATCATAGTAAAAGCTACCTCCTTTGGTTGTTTTAAGGCTGAAATGGATTATATGTCAAAAAGTATTACAAAGCCAACAAAAAAAAGTATTAGAAAACCATAGAGTCCTATACGTGCTCGAGGGTTGATGAAGAGGATGTAGCACCACCCTCAGCAGCCTACAAGGAAAAAAACAATCCGCATTTCAAATCAAGATGCAAGTGCTCGGCTCCATAAACACCTGCTCCCATTTAATTACTGACATCAAGCTTAACCTATAATAAATTAACCCCCATATTGTGTGTGGGTTTCAAATAAGATATCTGCACAGTAGATAATCTGAAATATTACTGACTGATGACTACAAATTAGATCCTCAAGGAATTGTGTCTGGACCTTCAGGAAAAACCGCATGCAATGGTTCCCGTGCCAGGGGTATTCCAGAGTCCCATCTTGGGGGGCTCAGATTTTAAGAACTACTTTATAAGCAGCATATAAAAAGTATCCTTGTGGTTTAGGAACATTTTACACTCTTATTATTTAAAAAACTCTCTTCTTAAAGAAAAAACTCCTGAATTATAAATTTAACTCTGACTACAGGGCAAATATAACAAAGACGATTAGAAAACATGTTCTCTTACAATCATTCATCAAGAGCTTTAGCTATGGTCTGATGTAGGCACCTAAAATTCAATTTACAAAATATAGAAAAGCCTTATTTTTTTTTCAGAATGCCATCTGTTAAACCATTCCAGCATGAGCTAATTCTGCTGCACAGAATTTGTAAATAGACTAAAATAAAAAAAAACGTAGTTGCTTCGTGTTAAAGCACAGATTCAGTCTGATCTATTAATGTAGAGGTTAGAAAGCTATGCACACAGTCAACATTCGGTCTTTTCTAGAACCCACACAACACTAACAAATATTCAAGCATAATGAAAACATTACAGTTAACTCCTAGTTGTCTGGAAAGAAAATCATTCCAAGGCCTGAGAGCTATTCTCTGCTAACATGGGTTCTTGAGCCTCTCTACTCAGTGGGGCAGTTTCTCAGCTAAGACGGGGGCAACAGGGCTACTGGGACTGGTGGGGGTGGCAGCTGCTCAGCCACCAGCCACTCAGGCACCAGGGATGCAGCATATGCTCCTCCCACCTGCCAGGAACCCCAGCTGCTCCTATGTGGACAAACATGAAAACCAGACAGCAGGGAAACCTATTGAGAGTGACATACTGCCACTCTTCTGGCTGAGCAGATTATCCAATTTCTACTAATCCAAAGCCCTGCTTTCCTCTGGTAGGCCTCATCAACAGCATCGGATGGCTTGGATGAAGTACAGCATGATAGCCAAATTTCAATTTTATGGCCTCTTGAGTCAGTTTCTGCACTTGGTGTGTTATGAGATAGAGAGGAGAGGAACGGAGGCCAGAGCCCTTAAGCAAGGAGCATGTATTAAAAATTAATTAGGATCTTTACTGTAGTTCTTGAACTGTTTGTAAGACTCGGTGCCTGGCAAGGACCATGATTTTGAGAGACTCTTGACTGAGGGTAGTCTGGGATACTAAATGTAGTTCGCCCATACTTGTGAAAATCAATTACCTTTTACAAGCAGGCACAGATAACTACAATAAACTGAAACCTCAATTCAAGCAAATGCTACTACTGCAATGTAAGCATGGTTTAATAGTTTGTTGACATTAAAACAAGGTTAGTCTTAGCCTTAACGAAGATGGAGCGCATAAGTTTGTGATTTTTTAACTGATTCAACAAGTATTTACTGAGCACCTGTAATATTCCAGAACTGTGCTGGGAAGCCGTGGTGAGTAAAAGAGCCCCAGTCTCTGCTGACAAGGAGCTTATCACTCTCAACTTTAGAATAAACAGAGAATACAAATTAAGGACCAAAAAATGAGGCGGCCCATACAATATTCTGGAGTTCTGCAACTTTTTGCATTGTAGTATCACATGTTAATGCTGAATACCCACAGGTAGTACCTAAATACAGACACAAATTGTGAAGCTGGGAAATACTATCAGACATTTTCTGAAGTTCAGGATATAATCAAAGAAAATGCAGGCATTTATTATAATAAAATGTAAAAATACAATATGTAATATAATAAAATAAATAATAAAATGGAACCGGATTTTTTAAAAAAAGGATCATAATCTAAAGACAGATTTTCCTCTCAATTACAAAACCATGAGTACATATACTAGATTCTGGTAAAAATTCTCCTCTAAAGTTCAGACCTAACAGAAAATCTTTCACCTTTGTTCCCAAGCAAATGTTTGTTGAGCATCAAGGGGCCAAAGTCTCACTCAAATTAAAAATGCAAAGCTTCTTGGGGCGCCTGGGTGGCTCAGTTGGTTAAGTGGCCGACTCTTGGTTTCTGCTCAGGTCTTGATCTTGGGGTCGTGGGATCGAACCCCACGTTGGACTCCATGCTCAGCACGGAGTCGGCTTCACATTCTTTCCCCGTCCTCTCCCTCTCCCTCTGCTCTTCCCTCCCCCTCTGCTCCTGCCCCCCACCCCCAGCCCACACGCATATGTGTGCTCTCTCTCTCTCTAAAATAACTAAACAAAATCTTTAAAGAAATGCAAAGCTTCTTGGTACATTAAAAATGAATTAAGGACTCAATGCTGCTTACCTTGTAGTCTCTGGATACATTTTCGGATGTCACTGAACCTGAAATCTGACTAGAAATTGTAGCAGCTATAAGCTGTTTACACCATTCAACATGTGATCCTGTAGGACTAAAAGAAATAGTGTGATTAAAATATTTTAAGACGTCAGCTCTCAGTGAAAAAAATGAGCACTGACTAGGGATATATGTACGTTTCTTTTTTTTTTTTTTTAAGAAAACAAACTTTTATTAGACTATTTGGTTACCTTTACATTTAATATAAGAACTGAAATACTGACTGACAGCCAGGAAGTAGGATTAGGTTCCAGGCTGATTTTAAATGAATCAACCAATTTTTTTTTTTAATGTTTAAGAGTCTAGGCATTAGACAGTTAAGCATGTTATTCTGTTTCATTTAATGGAATTTTACTATATTACAACTATATGGAGTGAATATTCTTAATGTAATATACATGGAATATTAATTCTAAAGTGAAATATTTATCTTATAGCATGTTTTTCAAATAGACTTTTAATGGAACGGCTGATTGTGTGAGTTTAAAAAGACCAGACTAGAAAAATGACATCCTGCATGTAGTAATAATGCTACCTTACATTTCTGTAAGTGCACTGACAACTTACAAAGGCTCTTCCGGTCTGTTATGATATCAGAGCCTCACAACCACAGTGTGATAAGAAGGCAGATCAGGGACTAGCCAACATGTTTCTGAGATGAGAACACAGGCACCAGAGGTGACACGCCCAATCAGAATGTGGCGGGCCTGCCTCCAGCCCCACTGAGGCTGTCCTTCCAGGACACGACATAACCAATAGTGACCACCTCACGGAACTGGAAGGCAAAACAGTCACGGAACTGCCTTAGACGAGAACACAGTCCCGCAAGGAAAATGGCATCTTCCACTTGCACGGTGCTCTCAAATGTCACCACATTTCCACACACAGCCTCACCCGAGCCTCACAGTGACCCATCTTACAGATGAGAAAAGTGAGGCTTCAGCATTTGACGAAGGTCACATGACTGGTAAGTGGTCAGGCTGTGCCCACCTGACCTAAAGGAAAAAGAAGCAGACTAGGCAGTGAGGGAATTAAGAATTGCCCTCAAGGGGCCAGGCTCCTCACCAAAGTACTGAAGGAATCAGGCAAAGGGCAAAAGATGCTCATTAAAGTTTACCCTGCAGGTAGCTTTCACTGTAAAGAATGTTCCAGACCTATAAAAATCTCATCACTAATTAAATCCACACTCATACATTGGAAAGACTGAAAAAAGTGGAATCCCTAGGCAGTATGCAAAATAACCCAAACAGTAAAATGAAGATACTTGATGTTCTCTACTAGATGTGATCTAAATTTCTGCCTCTGATCAAGATAGCCCAGTGGTGAGCCACGGAGCTGAAAACATAAGTAAAAAACATGCCCTGAATGAGCAGAAGACATTCCTATCATATGTCATATGGGCATTCCTATCATACGTCATAAATCTATTTACTACAATTTCTAACTGAGAGGAAAAGAGGGAAAGGGGAGGGATTTTAGCTTCTTTTTTAAAGGCTAAGTCCCCTTTATTGCTGGCTATATCATACTTTTCTTGTCACACTGCCTTCTTCCCTGCCAGCACCCACTCCTGATTGCAAATCTAACAGTAGGAACCTGCCTGGTCACCCACTGTTGTTACCATCTGCCCAGCATCCCTTCCTCCTCCTTCTGATAAGGGCACTTCTCTGCTGGGGGGAACTGTCCTTCCCCACGTCACAGGATTCTGGGGGCAGGGAACAGAGCGGGACTGATACCTTGCTCCTCCTGAGCCCACTTGTAGGGGGGTGACCCGGACCAGGCCAGTCCCAGGCTTTCCTCTTGGATCCCAAGCTGCGTAGATCCACCCCCAGCACTGCTACAGGCCACTCCCCACCCCCACCCCCTTGAGGAACCCACAGAGATAAAGAACAGGACGAGAAAAAAACAAGAGATGAGGAGCCCCGACAATGCTGTGTGCGACTCTGGCTCCAACCGTGCCCATGGCCATCCTTCCTCATCTGCAGCAGTCACGTGCGCCAAGACATTTCCTTTTTGGCTTAAGCTAGAATGAGTTGTGTTTTTTGTCACTTGCACCCAGAAGTGTCCTGGCCAACACAGTCACAAACAGCACGGTATAGTGGGCTGGTAGATAGGAGGCTTGGATCCGAGTCCTGTTTCTGTCACCAGCTAGCTCTGTGACCTTGAGCAAGCCACATCCTCTTGCAGGACCGCAGCTTTGTCGTCATGAAGTACAGTACTCAGGAGAGAAGGGAGGGCTCCTCAGTCCGTGGGGCAAGGCTGAACCCCGCCTGTAGAGCCAGGTTCCACTCTAGGAGTCACTCTTCAAAGAAGAGTATGAATCAGAGCCTGTCACAATGACAGATCACAGAAGGCAGGCCAGGCTCCCCCTGTGCAATCTCCTGCCACCCTCCTCGTATTAAGAACCACCTGCAGCCTGGAGGAGGCCAGCTTTGTTTCTCCAACCTAGATTCTCCTGATCTGAACGCCCACGATCCAAGGAGACATCTGTACTAGTTGGTCCTGAGACCTTGCCCCAACTCGACCTGTCGAAACCGGCATCGGGGGCTCAGCCTGCAACCCACTCCCCCACCCCTGTGTTTCCTAGGTCAGGGAAGAGCACAGCCAGTTACCCAGGTACACCATGCCCAGAAGCTGGGGTCGACCTTGGAACCCGCCCCCCACTTCATTTCACTCTCACATCTGAATGTTCACCAAGCCACATCACTCTTACTGGCTAGCACCCTGAGAATGCACCTTGCTCAGTTCCTAATGCAACTCCCTTTTCCAGACACCCATCATTCTTCTGTGTTCTCCTCCTGCCTCCTGAATTTAGGCCCCATCTCTAGGCCAATGACTCCCAAATTTAGGTCTCCAGCCCAGACAACACCCCTGAACTCCAGGCCCATATAAACCAACTGCCTCTTTGACCTCTGCTCTGGGATATACAACCAGCATCTCAGAACTGATATGTCTGAAGCTGAAAGCCTGCTAATTTCCTAACCATGTTCCATTCAGAGGCTTCTTCATCTCAGCAACACCATCTTCCCACAAGCCAAAAATCTTGGCATCTTGATTCTTCTCTCCTACCTAACAACCAATCGTCAGCAAAAAGTATTGGCTCTACCCTGCAGGTTTTCTTCAAATTATATCTACACTCTGACCACTTCTCCCTTCCTCTGCCCAACTGCTCTGTCTAGGCCACCCACCCTCTCTCATTTGGATGACTGCAATAGTCTCCTACCTGCTGGTCTCTCTGCTTCAACCCCTTCCACTTGCAGTCTGTTGTCCACAGAGCAGCTACAGGGAGCTTACTGAAATCTACACCAGGGTATGCCACTCGTTCGCTCCAAAAGCCCCAATGGCTCCCCATAACTCTCCACCTTCTGCCCCTGTGACCTCTCTGACCTCAACCCTTACTCCCCTCTCCCTAGCTCCCTCCCCACTAGTGCCACTGGTCTCCTTGCTGATCCTTGCACACTTTGCACACTCCCACCCGGGGTGCACAGGCCTCTGCCTGGAATGCTGTCGCCCTCAATGTCTGTATGACTGGATCCCTCCCTTCTTTAGGGGGAGTACTCGAATGTCACCTTTCTCAGTCAGGCTTTCCCTGACCATCCTATGTAAAATTCCAATTCACCCCCCAAACTGCAGGCCCCCAACACCTCATATCCCCCTCCCAACTTACTTTTTCCCTAGCACCCGTCACCACCTAGCAGAGAATACAGTTTACTTGTTTTTTGTCTACCTCTGTCACCAAACATACTCTCCACCAGGGCAGTGATTTGTGTGTGTCCGTTCCCTGCCAAATCCTCGGGCCCCCCCAACAGTGCCTGACACAGAGCAGGCGCTCATATATAAATGAGCAAGTGATTAGCATTTCCATAACCTACTCAATAAGACTCCCCGCCTCCAGTCCATTCACCACACCAATGCAGAACAAACGTTCTCAAACATCAATCCCATCCTGTAGCTCACCTGATGGAAATCCTTTTGTGGTCCCTAGAGCTAAGGGTGACCATCTAATTTCCCATCCAAACCAAGACACTACTGTGAGTTGACCGAGGATGCACCGGGTCCACCAGTAAACCAGCACCATCCTGGGCAAAAGAGACCACCTGGCCCAACCTACTTGTAGCTACAGGTAGTTGTTAAAAGTGCAGAATTCCAGGCTCTACCCCAGAGGGGGACAGACTAGACTTAGGGTGGGACCCAAGAATCTGCCCTTGGATCCAGCACTGGAGGTGACTCCTATGCAGGTTACACAGAACCATGCCCCGAGAAGCATGGCACAGAAGATAAAGGCACAATTCCCTAGGAAGGCACCCAAGCCCCTTCAAGATCCGGCCCCTGCCTCCCACACATCTTCTGTCTTACCAGTTCCCCACGTCCAGCATTGCCTGCACGGCCTGCGCCACTGCACATTCCACTCCCGTGGCCAAAAAGTCCTCCCCACCCTGTTCCCTGGCTAACTTCTCATTCCTCCCCATTCAATTCAAATGTCAGCTTCCTCAGAAGGCCTCCTTCCCTTAACTGCCCGTAATCCCCACCCCCACCCCCCACTAAAAACAAATCAAGCACCCCACCTCCATGTGCTCACAGCGCAGTGGATCACAACTGAGTCTGCAGAGGTTCCTTGAAAAATACTACCTCCTGGCCCTCGCCCCGAACCTTCTGAATCAGAAGCCTTAGGAGTGGGGCCTGGTCACCTGGAGTACCTAAAAAAGCTTCTCAGATGATTCCCATGCACGCCCCATCCAGAGTACTTCTACCTACTTGTACCTCTACCCTAGCACTCAGCACATTCTATTTAAATTGCTGGTTTGTTCGTATTCTTCACTAGATGGTAAGCCAGAGAGCAAAAGCCATCTTGTATTAGTCTCTAACTCTCCAAGCCCTCGTCCGTTGTAGAATATCTGCAAATGAGTGGAATCCTGACCATTCCAAGTACTATCTTAGCTGTGATTAGTTCTTAGTGAAGCTGACCACTTGAGTGATTAATTTGCAAAAATACACTGTAATTACACTGGGGTAGAAACAAAAGGAGCGTTTCTTGTTATTCCTATGCTTCGGGAAACTCCCAAAAGTTCAGCTCTCTGTTATGACTAACACGGGCAAGAACGAGCATCTGCAACTGACCAAACTGCCTTACCACACTCTCTTGCCTAACCGCACTCTCGTGTCAGCGAAATAGCCAAGATGTGGGAAAACTGGATATTCCGGGCTACGGGATAACCAACCCATCGCTTGTCCTCGGAGCCTTAGGGTGGCCCTTCCAGTTGGACATGGTCGGTTTCTACTTCTGATTTATGCTGGCTCTGCAACCGCCTAAGAAGCAGTAGTAGGCTTACGTGTTCACGAAAACAATGAACCGGGTTCCTTCAAAAGTGTGAAACACTGAAATAAACGATTGTGTGTTCTTGCATCAGGAGCAGTTTGGAAGTTTTCCATCCCAGCTTTCCAAATCAGGGTAACTTTGCCTCCATCTGCACCGGCTCCAACACCCACGGGGTTGCGTCCTCCAGTCCCCACCTCCAACCCCCACATCACAGACCCCCAAGCAGCAGCGGCGGCGGGATTTCGGTCTTCCAACCCCGGGAGGGAAGGCCACGGGAAAAGAGGACAGCCCGAGTGAAATTTCCTCCCAAAGGCTCCGTGGCCGCGGCAAGGCCAGCGAGGCGCCTGCCAAGGTGCGGCGGGAAGACGCACTGATAAGATTTGACAGCTGCGAAGCCCCTCAGGGGCGCAAGGAGCCCCAGCCCGCGAGGCGGAAGTGAGCCAGGTGCGCGGCCCCGGGAGGTGGGGGCAGGGTCCGGGGTCTCGGGGAGCGCGCGCGGGGAGGTGGCGGGGGGGTACCCGGCAGGGCACGGAGGGGGGCACGCCCGGCCTTGGCCGGCGCGGCGCGCGAGGCCTTCGGGGGTCGGGGCGCGGGGACCGCGGCGGCCCGGGTCCCGCTTTACCTGTCCAGAATCTCCACGCTGGGCTGCCGGGAGCCGGCGGCGGGGCCCCCAGCGCCCCGAGGGGGCC